CAGATTCATGGTCTGAATAATTAGCTAAGAACAAGCATACAATATAATAACTTTCATAATCCATAGCCCAAATAAATAGTTTAAATACCCTACAAAAAAGATAACCCTTTATGAAGTCGTCAAAAAACAAACGTTACGGCAGTTTTTTATATGCACAAATCCCTTTCATCATAAAAAAATAAAATAAAAAAATAAATAAATCTCCATAGACACGCATACCAGGCTAGGGTGAATACATATTCCGTTTCAAATTTAGACATCCCCACCTTTCCCTGACTTGACATCTATGAAAGTAACTCTATACTGATACTTATTATTAACACCCAACACACACCTACACAATTTAAACAATTCGCCCTAGCTGTTACTATGGAATTTTTGATTTCAATTATTAAAACACGTAAATTTCAGGAATACGTTATTCCCAAAAAAAATTCGCTTGAAGATGGAACAGAGCTTACTTTAACTCAATTTAATTCAAATAATTATATTGAAGTTTTCGGCTCTTGTTTTGAAACATGAGACCTCTTATGTCGCGAGTTGGAATCATATTTTTTAATAAATAATTATATATATATGTATATATATATATATATATATATGTATTTCTATGTATTTCTCACTATATATATAGGTATTTCTATGTATTTCTCACATTATATATAAGCCTAGTGAGAAATGTATGTATATATATATATCTATATATATATATATATATAAATTTGCATTATATATATATATATATATATATATATAAATAAAGAAATATATACATATTCATATATAAAGTAAGAAATGTATATATATATATATATATATATATTTCTCACTAGGCTTCTTGTGGACGACGGTCTCTATTCCACAAAGTAACAGTTCTGGAGAAAAATCTGTGAAAGTGGATCTTACACCTTATAAATAGAATACAAATAGTATGACATTTTGATATAAAGAAGCACATTTAGCCTAGATTAGATTAGAAGTATGATCTCTTTTAACTTCTCTTCTCCCTCTACTTATCACTATATATATAGACATATTCCATCTATTTATTTTTTTATTCATATCTTTTTCTCTAAAGTAATTATTTTCATGATGTTAAGATGAAATCAACAAGGGAGGCACAGTTTTTTTTTCTAACCTAAGCACTTTCAGTCTTTTTCAAGATCATGTTCAGGTATAAATTACAAAAACAAACATAACCTAAACGTGATAAAAACTACATTCTCTAGTGATGGTGATATTTTTTTTTTAATTATGCAAAAACTACGGTGCCTTCCTTGATAAATTTCATCTTAACTTCAAGAATCTGCTTAGAGAATTGAAAAGGATCAGTATAAGAATAGACAAATTATTTCTACATTATTCAATGAAACTTGTTTTAATGAAGATATGATGCTCATACACACACACACATAGATATATAACTTAATCTATAGATATGTATATAACGTAACCTCTCTCTCTCTCCCTCTCTCCCTGTATATATATATATATATTCATATATATATATATATATATATATATATATACAATTGAACATAGATGTCAATTCAATCGTCAGGCCTTTCGTGAAACAGACTGTCGCCTCTAAGTGTTGACTTCTATGTTCACTTTTATATTTACACGCTCTAAATCTAGTATCCCATAAATATACTACATCTTAAGAATACATTTTTTCATATATATATATATATATATATATATATATATATATACATATACACACACACACACATATACATATTGATGCATGTTTCATTAAATAATATAGAGAAATTTTGTCTATACATTTTATGCAAATTCATTTCATATCGTAGGATAAGCTTAATAACATTAGCATTAAAAGAAGAAAGAAAATCACAATATTGATACATATTTTTAATCCTATCTAATCTTTCGACTTACATAAGCCATTATCAAAGATGACAATTATATTACAATGTATTAAACAATACAGGGACAAAACAATAATGAAAATCTTTTTTGTTTACATGGATGATTTCCAAGCTAAAACAAACTCGTATGCATGAGTTTCTCGTTGCTTGGATGCCATGTATCAATGAAAAAATGCTGCCTAAATATACACACACACACACAATATATATATATATATATATATATATATATATATATATATATATATATATATATATATATATATATATATATATATATATAACGTAACCTATATTGCATACGTAACATACGCCATCCTTGGCTACTCTTCAAGGACAAACCTAAATAGAAATAGAATTTAATTGCTGCAAATATCCCTATAGGGGAATTCGAACATGCCGGTGAAAACCGAGCAAACTGGAGAAACAGCTGCTACCGAGGTGTGACTAACTTTGAAAAGAATCGTCTCAGAACATCTCAGAAAATTAAGAACCAACACTAAAACTCGGTCTAATACGTCAATCCATATGACGGTCAACGTTTCAGTATGCACTTCCTGTAGATTTGTTTGCAAATCCCGTGCAGGATTGTTGTCTCATACGAAACATAAACATAAAAACTCAACTGAAAAGACACCCATACGTCGAAGACGATGGGAGAGTCCATCATCATCTATATATTTCGGAAATTGATAGCTGAAAGCGAATACGTTTGCGTCGGGATGATGGTGTTTTGTGTGTGTATCTTTGTGTGTGTCCATTTGAGAGAGAGAGAGAGAGAGAGAGAGAGAGAGAGAAAGAGAGAGAATGAGAGAGAGAGTGAGAGTGTGTGTGTGTGTGTGTGTAATTTACATACTGAGAATGGTATTGAGCTGATGTGTGTGCGTTAGAGATAGTTAAAATTGATTGAATTGCAAGAGGAAGTGAAAATAGAATCGAA